AATGTTCGCTAGTAGTAACAAGTGCATCGCTAGTAGTAACAAGTGCCACGCTGTCCTGTTATCACCCCCTTGTCCTGTTTCGCTTTCACTTTCTCCACCGCCTTGTTTGGGTATGTTTTCGTGAGGCAAACGACAAGCAACAGTGATACAGCGTTTTGATTTTGTCATGACGTACATCCTTATGTATTCCCCTCATGTGACCGAATCAGGAACTATTGTTTGCCGTTCTCAAGAGCTGGAGGCTATAGGAATATGATTACCGACGTTACCACCATTGTTGACGCTACAAAAGTGAAACTGTTTGAAGCCCATGCCGGCATAATTTTTTCTTCCGCATTTTCTTTTCTAGTAACAAAGGGCATCGCTACTAGGAGCGAGAAGCAACTAGTAGCTCCTGGCGTTTCTACTAGTAACAAAGGGCATTGCTTCTAGTAACAAGAAGCTACTAGGGGCTCCTAGCCTTACTACTAGGAGCAAGGACGCTACTAGTAGCTCCTGGCCCTACTATTAAAGACAAGAAGCTAGTAGGAGCAAAGGGCATCGCTACTAGGGGATCCTGGCCGTACTACTAGGAACAAGAAGCTACTAGGAGCATTTTGTTCCTTTCGAGGTCGGCAAAGATGACGTGCTTTTGGCACCCATGCAGCGCTGCCACGAGCTACGCTTGGATGGTCGTGGTCTTCATGTGCGACTCACGAACGAGGGCCACTATGCCTCGGAGCGACAATCGAAAAGAAAGCAAAAACGACAACCCAAAAATTGAGAGTTTAACAGCTAACGCAAAAACATGCCAAACACATTCTGAAGCGGTTTGATGTCGTTTCTGGGTGGGGAACAAGTGCATCGCTTCTAGTAACAAGTGCCTTACTAGTAGTAACAAGAACGCTACTAGGGGCTCCTGGCCGTACTACTAGGAACAAGTGCATCGCTAGTAGTAACAAGTGCCTTACTAGTAGTAACAAGAAGCTATTTAACCGCCGCTGGCGTGTTCCGCCGGCTTTCCAGGTGGCCATGTACTTTGTGCCTTTGGGTTGCATGCAACGTGGTTGGTCATGTATTGCAGTGTGACTCTTCACGGTTTCATGGCCTGGGCGCACAGGAAAGTTGGCAAGGCCATGAGTCGAGCTAAAGGCAGATGAAACACACTGTTGTTAGTAATGTGTCGCAGTGTGGTGCTGCCTTGTCTGATTTCTAGGGCTCGCAGGAAATGTAGCAAGGCCATGAGGTAAACAAAAGCAGACACGCAGATGAAAGACACATGTTTGTAGCAACTTGAGCACGGGCTTGGAAAGAAGGGGTTTGGAAAGAAGGGATAGAAAATGCCTGCAGTGGAAGACAGGGTAGTTGTTTATCTATAGAAGAGTTTGGCATCTTAGCGGACAGGTTGGAGGCATGGCAGGAGGAGGGTGCTCCGTGTTGCAGCCTTGATCTATCTTTGGGGCGTACGCTACGAGGATGCAGGGTGAATGCGGGAGTGCCGTAGAGGATGATGTGTGTGCTGTCTTGGCAAGGCTATGTGTGATGGAGGGTTCGCCGCACCCGAGGAGAGCCTGGGAGAGGACAGTGGCGGTCATCGGGAGGTGCTTGAAAAGGCAACCGACGGTGCCAAGCAAAGTGGGCGGTGGGAGTTGGATTCAGGAGCAGTTGGACAAGGAGGGGGAGGGGGGGGGGGGGGGGGTAGCAAAAATCCGCGCGTAGGGGAAAGACTTACAACACAACAGCAACAGCGACAGGAACATCCACCGAACACGCCGGCTACAGCCGGCGGATTAGGAACAAGTGCATCGCTACTAGTAACGAGTGCCTTACTAGTAGTAACAAGTTTCCTTTCACATCGATTTAAGTCGTTCGTTCGACAAGAAAGGACGACTTCAATGACGTACGTCCTCCCAATCAGCCGGCTTCCTCACTGCAGATTTGGTGGCCGGTAGACCCGGTGAAAGACTCGAGTCAGAGGGAGGATTGATGCATTCAAGATCGTTGAGACATGTTGAGACGAATTCTTTCCAGTTTTGAGGCCGCTAGTAGGTTGGAGGCCATTGCTATTAGTCAACTGGACTTGCTGGAGATCCAGGAGACACCGGCTGACTTCATCTCAGACGAATTCCTTTTCTGATCTCACTTCGTCTTGCACCTCGCGCCGAGCAGCGGGCACCGAGTGGCTTGCACCGAGCGTTTCGGAGATCCGAGAAGTGGAAAGAGCGGCCGTGGCCGTGGCCGTGGCGAAAGACAGCATTGGCATTGACGAGTCGAAGTCCATCTGCAACAAGTGCGAGTCGAGTCTACCAGGTGCGTGAAAAGCGTGTTGAGCGTGATTCCCGTGAAGAGCTTGACAACAAGGCTTACGTCGGTACACATGCCTTCCAAGGGTGCATGTAGCTTTTGGTTCAGAAGTGTATCATATAGACAGCAGCGGTGCAGCTCCCACCCAACAAGATAGCCTTTGACCACAGAGGTCTGGAGACATTTTTCTACTGAATCTGCATCTAAGGGTGTAAACAAAGTCCGAAGAGTTTGTAGGATTTAGGCAACAGCACATTCGCTCACTGAGCAGCGCTAAGAAGCAACACGTTTCTGCAAATTTTCAATCAAGTTGCGCTGGTTCTCCTCATCCAATGGTGTGCTGTGACAAGGCCTTGTCCTTCTCTCATTGCATCCATACATGTAGCTGGCAGAGCCACAAGAGACCTGGGAGTGAGTTTCCGCCTGACCGCCCTAGATGATAATCATGATTTAGGAAGAACGTTGAAAGACGCATTGATTTTCAGCAAGGTGGTGATTTTCGCCTTGCTTGTGACTTGGTTAAAGGAGACCGAAAGAGGCAAAGAGCTTTTGACAGGAAAAGCCAGAGGTCTGAAAAAGAAACATAGAAATCAACGAACTGAACGTTGTTGTTCGGATATTGTTTTGTTTTTGTCAAGAGTTCTTTGACAAGGCTAAAGCAGTCGCCATGGTGGAGATTCAGGAGACCGAACTGAATGAACTGAACTGGACCGAAAGGATGAGTTGGAGTGAGGACGGGTTGGACTCGGAGTTTTTTGGAGTCCTTCCTTTTTCGTGTCAAAAGCAAAAGAGGATTTTGCCGCCAAAGGGAATCCTTTTCGTCCAAAAAGGTAAGACGCAGTCACGTCTATACTTACAGAAAAGACAAACAAGTTACTTTAGACCAAATTGGAGGCCATCGCTATTAGGTTACAAGAAACGGCTCGATGTCAGTCGACCGTGTGGGTGAAGAGTGCTGGTGGACAAAGCTGCGAGGTGGCCTGCAAGGCGCGCCTTTTACGTTTCCTTTTGGGATTGCCATTCACTCTCTTTGCCTCTGCTTCTTCTCTATCTATTCTTCGCTGGATTGTTTGGTGGAGTGGACGTGGAATGCACCCTCGCTACTATCGCAACTGCAACATGTTCTTGAAAAGACCGTCCAACCCCTCCGAGAACAAGATTTTGCACTAGGCCAGAGGTGGCTGCAAAGAAGATGATTGGCCGTAGTGGGCTGAGAAGCTGTTTTTAGCTGATCGTTGCAAGAGTTTCTCAATGGATTGTTCAAAGACTTGCGCGTTGTGCAACCCTCTTCCTGTGGCCAAAACACCTGCCTCACCTGATTTCACCAGAAACCTAATGGACAAACACAGAAGGGGCAGGCGGAAGCAGACACATCCTCAGATTTTCACAGTTTTTCCACAAGAATCGATCGGTCATTGAAAGCATCGCTGTCAGGACTACAGAACAAGAATTTCAGGAGATGCTGCAAGAGTCAGGATACAGTTGTGCCAGAGACCCAAAAACGAAGAGTTCGCACGGGCAGTGGAGGGAGCTTCCTTAAAAAAGCGTGACCTACCAACTTGATAAGTAAAAGCTGGAGGCCATTGCCAGAAACTTGATAAGTGCAAGCTAATAACTTCTTCCCCAAAGAGTTTACTGTTTTGGTTCTCAATGCTTTTAAGTGTGTCCGCCTCAGTCTACGCTAGTGTGTCCGCCTTGGGCCCAAATCCTCAGCAATTCTATGCATTTCTTGCTACTAGTCCAAGCAGAGCCACGAAGGGCACTCTGGTAGCGTCCTTTGTTCCTAGTAGTACGGCCAGGAGCCCCTACTAGCTTCTTGTTACTACTAGTAAGGCACTTGTTACTAGAAGCGATGCACTTGTTACTAGTAGCAATTCTTCATATTTGTCTCCCAGTCAATGTCTTCCAATGGTCGCTTTCCGAAATTCAGATTTGCGGTCAACTGTTGGGGGTCTATGGTGGTGCATGTTTTTTTTCTAGCCTGATAACTTCCTTCAACCACCCGAAACTCAGATCGGAAAGAGACATTGAAAAACAACTAGGAATTAGGGACTTTTCGGAATGTGCTTTCTAATTGGAATGTTCTTCTTCTTCTTCTTTTGGAATTAGAACGTACTTTCCAAATGGCCACGACGGGCACAGGTAGCGGGTTTACAAGAATCGGAGGCAGAGGAAGACTCCTTGTGCGTGTTTTGGGCCAACACTTTTGCTACGTTAAGTTTCCCTGAAAATCTAGGAACCAAAAGAAGCGTGAGCTATCCTGTGTCCTACCTAGAAGCTAACTAGTCGCCCCTTACTAAGTAGGTGCCCTGAGGGCAAGAGCGGACTTTAAAAATAGAGCACTTCAATGAAACCTCGCGCCTTGGTGTCGTCCGAGGTTGGCATCCAAGTTGGTGGCGCCAAATACGATCCAAGTACTGATGGCTGGGGAGATGTCGGACAAAGATAGTGGACTTCAGCCAAACAAGAAGTCTTTTGTGTTCCACCGCTAGTACGTTGGAGGCCATCGCTATATTGGTAACTCAAAAGAAGATTGTTTTTATTAACGTTATTTTCGCATTTCTTAACAACTCTTTTTGGACTTTACAGGACCACTGGCAGCTGCTTGTTCGAAGTTTGTATTTGTGAGGCCGCTACTGCGGCTGGAAAGGCGATGCCGAGCAGCTTGGCTTAACATAGGTTAGAGGACATCTCTAGCAGGTTGGAGGACATTTTTCTCCTCTTATATAACTATTCTATTTTTTCCCTAGGAGCAAGGACACTACTGGTGGCTCCTGGCCTTACTACTAGGAACAAGAGGACGCTACTAGGAACAAGTGCATCGCTTCTAGTAACAAGTGCCTTACTAGTAACAAGAAGCTACTAGGGGCTCGTGGCCTTACTACTAGGAACAAGAGGACGCTGCTAGGAACAAGTGCATCGCTTCTAGTAACAAGTGCCTTACTAGTAGTAACAAGAAGCTACTAGGGGCTCGTGGCCTTACTACTAGGAACAAGAGGACGCTACTAGGAACAAGTGCATCGCTTCTAGTAACAAGTGCCTTACTAGTAGTAACAAGAAGCTACTAGGGGCTCGTGGCCTTACTACTAGGA